TGATAGGTAGCCCCTTTATTAACAACACACACTCCAAAAGGGATTAGCAAACTCACTGAAAAGTGAAAGTACATATTTGCATTCCCATTGTTGCTGGCACCAGCACCTACTGACATTAGCAAGCAACAGACAACTGCAGACAAGCTTCCCAACCCAGCTGTGCTTCCAAGCAGCTTCTTCCTGGCTCAAAATCAAGAAGGAGTAATTTCAAACATATTCCTGGTGCAGAAAGCATTTCAAATTCTGCTTACTGGAATTAAATTGATCCTAGCTGTGAGTGAAACTTAACATTTGGAAATTCAAATAATATTAAAAGCGGTCCAGTTTGAATTTCCAAATTGAAATTATTCAAAACCTGCCCAGAAATCTCTGCAACAATATCCCTCTTGTGACATCCTACCTTCTTCTTAAATAATAGTTAGGATGATAAGAGTCCTGCCAAGGAATCCTGCTTCTGTATGTAGACATCCTCAGTATCTGAGAGAACTTGTGGTAAGCCTTATGGTAAATGCCTTCACACAGGCATCTGTATCCTACACACTGCCCCTGAAGTGGTCAGCTGGGCCAAACAGATTCATATCATGTGAATGTCAGTAAATAGGAGACAGATCAGGTCATTTAGGGAGCTTTGAAAGCTTTACAGTAACTTGAAGGAACATCAGTATACTAAACCAGAAATAAGTTACAAAGAGTCAGTAGGCCTCAGCCTCTGGCTTCTAGGGTTTAATTACATGATTTAGACACACTGGATATTTTCCAGAGACATGGCACAGAGGAAAAAACACTGCATTTGGAAACCGCAGAATCAGCGGAGGAATCACTTAGTTGGCAAGCTACTCCCAGGATAGTACTTTTTTTCTCCTCTTTAACTGTTGCTGTGTGCATGTATGCATGTATATGGGAGGGTGTGTGTGCACGTGAAACGTTTGAACAAACATTTGCTTAACAAGCAAGCCGTAAGTAGCAGAATGCACAGGGGCCTCTGGAGGCATGAAAAATTGAAAACACTAACTAGAAGACCTTGTCTTCCACAGCAGCTTCTTTTCTCAGAAGTGGTCTTGAGAACAATCTTCAAGTACCACGTCTGTGACAGGATGATCAGCCTACTCCATGGTAACTTTTTAAAAGGGAAGACAGCATCTTCCATATAAAATATTGTGCCAGTACCTCCATAAAGCACATACTTCTAAATTTTCTTTTTTTTTTTTTTTTTTTAATACCACATGTATTAATAGTATACTTAAAATAAAATACTGTTCCTCGTGGCAGAGGAATATTTCTTGAAAACACAAAGTACTGGTGTAGTTCTCTGTTAAGTTTGTATAAATCAAATGTAAGAAGAGTGACAGCATGAAATGGCATTTTCTTACTCAGCAGATTTGCTGCTCACATATCAGAATATCATGGCTGACATGAGTCATTAAGGAGTTCTTATCCTTTTTGGGGTCTGTTGACATAGCACAGTTGGCACCACTCGAGACAGAGAGCTAGTTTGCTGCTGCAGAACACCTACAAAATTATTTACAAAATACACATAAGTTATGTCCATGACACTACATGGTTGCCAAAGAGAGAAAATACGGAGAGAAGAGGGATGTCCAGTCTGTTATAAATAACAGAAGGATTTTGCTTTCTCTAAAAGTAATTAAACAATTACTTTTATTGAGTTAGGCTAAAGGTGTTATTAAATTAGTATTGTTAAAATTATAAAAGTTAAGCAAGCCTTTTTTGATCACAAAATTAGGCATATGGTTGGGCATTGTGTGGAACTGGTCAAGCAAGAGGATGGGGGGGTGGTCTGTGGTTAGGTGTCATGGAAAGGGGAACCTGGATGGGAGGGGCCGGGGAAGAATGGAAGCCGGCAGAAAAGGGTTAAGTGAAGAACTCCTGATGAAGAGCAACCTGGACTTTGCCGTCCCACCCCATCTCCACCCCAACCCCCCCCCATTTCCATCCCAACACCCCCATATCCACCGAAACTCCCACCCCTTCCCGAGGGCAGTGGAAAAGTTCTGAGAGAGACAGCCTCGGAGAAACAAAGTAAAAGGAGCTGTCTGTGCAGGCGTAAAGAGGAGAAAACCCGCCATTTTCGCTCAACCAATGAAATCTTCTGGTTGCTCTATAAAAAGAAGCCCCTGTTGGGGCGGAGTGCACGCCATTGCGCCCAGTGCTGTATTCTTTGCTCCACTGACTTTGAATAAAATATTTTTTTGGTATGCATGAGCGTGTTTCTCACAAGTCCAAGACTTAACAGGCAGAAGCTAAATGATAAGGTTGCAAGAAGCTGGAATTCTGCTGAATTTGTGGAGTCAGTAATTGGAAAAAGTATGTTAACTGTATTGCTGTAAGATGATATAAAACTTCCTAACAAAATAAAAATTTTGCTTTTTTGAAACAGTAGGACAGAACAGTAATATAATACTAAAGCAGGCTTAAGAAAAAATGTAAGAGAAAATAATGACAAAACTACAGGAGGCTTTTAAGTTTCCTCCTATAGCTGTAATCAACTTTTATCTTTATAGAAATGAGCCTTTTAGCTTTTGGAAAAAAATCACTGTATGTTTATGACCAAGAACAGCTGATTTGGAATATTCTTTACAAACACTTTTTCACAATAGTGCCCTTCTTGGGTGATACTGCTATCCTTTTTGGTGGTTAAGCCACATTATAAAGATCTAGCTTGATCACACATACCAGTTTCTTCTTCTTCCATCTTCTACTGTTCATGTCTGCAGTAAACATACACAATATGTCCGCAGAAATGAGAAATAAACTGTGCAACCTTAAATGTGCTCTAAAGGTATTTTGCACTCATTTGTAGGGACTTTAGGAGAACCTTCCGCACAGGGCCTGCCAAGGGATAATGCATGGCTAACAAGAAAAAGCAGGATTTAGGGGGAGCAGACCTATAGAGGGAAACATTCCTTAAGTCAGAGGAAAAGCATGCATAAATCTCATAACAGTGCAAGTATCCAGGGAAGGAGATTTGACCATGAAGCAACTCTATGTTAATGAAGGCACACAAGGTAAGGTGTGAGAAACTGTAGTGATCTCTTTCTTACATGATACTCTGCGTGTGTCACGTGCAGTAGCAAAGGGGAGATGGGGAAGACATCTGCATCTGGACACAAAGAGGAATGTACACAGTGAATTTGTATAAGCATAAAGAAGGCAACTCTCAGTGGACTGAGGGATCAGCTCTCTGTCAGACACATCTGCTGGCAGCCTATGGGAGCATGCTGGAGAATAAGCAGCTGTCTCCTTGGAGCCACCAGCTGCCTCTCCTCCAAAAAGTGTTGTGCCATCGGTCAGCCTGCAAGTCTAATACAGAAGGCAATGACAGTAGCAGCCTTGGGCAAAAGAGAGGAGACATCTCTCCCCCAACCCACTCCAGAAAATGTCTCTATAGCCCAAGCTGTTCTTGCCACAGCTAACAGATTGGAAGAGCTGAGAAGCTCAGAACAGAGCAAGAAAACATGCCTTTCTGCAGGGTTTTGGTGATTAAACTAGAGATGATACAAACCTGTTGCATACAAGCTCCAATGCCCAAAAATAATGGTATTTCCAAGTATCAAAACACATGACCATACAAACAATACTGTGTAGCTCAGTGCAAGCACAAGAAAGTCAATTAGGATAGAACTCAGAAGACAAGAAAGAATGTTTAGTGGATAGAGGGGCACACAGACATGTCAAGGAATTAAAAACTGCACATGTATAATTTGGCTAAGAGGGCATACACACAAAAGGCAGTAAGGGAAAGGATATAACTACGTGCAGTTTTCTGAGGCTTGCCAAAACACTAGCAAAATAAACTGAAGTGGTGCAAGGTGTTAAATTTAGGGAATGAACTTCTAGAAAAAAGCAGATCCTATTTTCAGCACAGAAATCAAGTATCGTCAAAGAAAAAAGATTATTAGATTGTGGATTATCTATTTCTGGTTCCCAAATGAACCTCAGCATTGGAATTATTTCAAACTGGGAATGAAGAAAGACCCCAAAATAGTCACTAGATCTTGTGTTAGTGGCTTGGGGCAGGTGGATCAGCTGTGACTAAACAGGTGCACCCCATGCCCAGTTTCCATGTTTCTGGTCAGAACCTACATAACAAGGAAGAAGGGAGCCTTCCGTGTTCATCCCAGCTGAGGCTGCAGATCTGCCCCTGTAACAGACTTGTCTGGTGCCAGATACTCTTCCCACTGTCTTGACCTTGTTTCCATTTGCCCTCTCACTCTCCTTCCTCATCAATCTGCATGACTTGATATCACTGCTAATAAAGGATGCCACGTGGGGGGATTTGCTTCCCTATCTCTACTCTCTTATTTCTAGAATTTGTGGGGGAAGCAGGTGATACTCACTCTTATCCCCAACTGAATGAGTGTGGTGGCAGCAAGAGAACCTTCAGAGTAAGTGAAATCATCTCAGCAGATACATGAAAGCCAAATTTAAATTACCCATCAAAACAGCCACTCCCATATTCACAGATCTATTTAGCAGAAGTAGTAGTACCTTACCTCATCTCCTTGAAAAATAGGTTAACGTGTCTCTTCTCTGCCACAAGCACTCATACAGCCATTTGTCCCCCGTAAGAGCATTAAACAACCCTATCCACAAAGCAGGCCACAAAGCCTTCCTTGTATCGTTCCATGAGGATCAGAAACCTATACAAGCATGCATCTACCCCAGTCTTCCTGCTTCAGTCTTCAAAGGCAGCATTTAGCTACGGCTCTTCAAGGAGCTAGAGAGAAACAACACGGATAGAAGCACACCAAACACACCATGCAAGTGTGGAAGACATCTGGTTTTGATGGCGATTTCTGCGAGCAGAGAAACCGTGGCCCGATTTCATACAGGTTTTCTCTCCCTGACCACACACGGGCACCTGACAGGAGAGGCGCTTGGGCGGGGGGTGTGTGTGTGTGTGTCTTTCTGGGCACTTCGAGTCCCAGTAACACAGCCTTTAAACAGCAGATACCAGGAAAGGAGAAAAAAAAACAAACCTGAGGAGTTTTTATCCCTTTCATAAGTAGTACTCGTTTGTTCTGCGTCTCCCGCCGCCACGGCCAGCATAGACCTGAAGATATCCTCGGCCCCGGCCCCTCTTCCTCAGATCCCTCCGGCCAGGCTCACAACATCCTTCCCCGCCGGCCCGCTCGCCCGACACAATACCTTTTGCAGGACTCCAGCAACACCCCTTTCACTTCCCAGCATTACTCAAGCAGTTTTCGCAGCAGCCCCTTCCTGCTAGAGCCGTGCCCGACCGGCATCAGAAAAGTTGGACAAAGACCATTTTCACCGTCGGAGTTCCACCACCTCGATGGGCTCAGCGCCAAACCCCTCCCGCTCCGCACCCGCCGCCGCTTTGTCCCCCGGCCGCGGGCACAGCCCTTGGCCCGCGACCGATGCCTCCAGCAGGTCGGATGCTTGCGAGCAGTCCCGATCCCTGCGCTCCTCTCCAGGCCCTTCTCTGTGAACGTTTTTTCCACTCCCCCCCCCCGCCCAGGCCGCCCCCCCACTTACAGAGGAGGATCTGCCTTGTCCCCTTTCCCCGGGCTCTCACGCTTCCCCCCCTTCCCTCCTCGCCCTGCCCCTCCTCCCCTCATCAGCGAGCGCAACCCCCCACCCCTCCCGCCCCTCCCCCGCCGACCTGCTCTCCCGCGCGGAGGCCCAGCCTCGCGCAGCGGCCCGCGGCGGCAAACGCGGGCGCTGCGCGGTCCCACGTTCTGAGGCGGCGGCGGCCGCTCCTGCTTGTCAGTTCCGCGGCGTTCACCGTCCTCCCTGCCAGCCTCGCCGGCTCCCCCGGCCCCCGCCGCCGCGCTCTCGGCTCTGCCGGCTGCCGCAGCCGGGGCTGGCCGGGGTGGAGCGCGGTGCGGACGAGGCCTCCCCTCACAGCCGCTCCGCCGGGCGGCACCGGGTTCCGTCCGCGGGTCGCTCCGCTGCTCACGCTTCCTCCACCCGGTGTCTTCCAGAGGTGGGGGGGGGATTTTCCAAGTGGGTCTTCCCTCGCCGGAGGCTCCGAGCTGCGGGCCAGGGTTTTTTCTGGGGGGGGGGGGGTTGCCCGGGTGTGACTGGAGGTGTGCGTGACCCTGCTAGGTTTGTGCCAGAAGGTGCGGTGTGGCAGTGCTGGAGGAGCAGCAGCAATTGCCGATCCTTGGACGGTTTCTCTGGGCTGTGGGAATCCGTGTTGCTGTATGGCATCTACTGTGGCAAGCCAGCTTAAAGTTAGCACGGGGGTGCTTACTTGCACTCTGCTTCCAAATGCTCAAGGTCAAATGTCACAGAGGCTATCTGCGTCCTTGATTCTAGGTACTAACAAACTTCAGCTCAACAAGCAATGGGGTGGATAAATCAACCGGGGTTCCTTAATTCTCCTAAAGAAGGACCTCCACTTCCAGTGTAGAGAGAAAGGACTGGAAGCATCTTTCTGGGTCACTCTTATCAGCTGCTGGTGCAAGAAAAAGAGTATACCTACCCAATCTACAAATGTCACTGGGCTGAACACAGAGAAATGTTAGAGGATGAGGCATGCTGCATAACCCTTTGATTATACCTACCGTTCAGTGAGTTACACGGACAGCTGGCAGAAAATGAGGATGCTGTGAGCTACAGTGCAGAGTGTGCCTATTTGGACTCAGTGGAAAAATATATCAAAACTCAGTGGCTTACAATTCACAAATACCTCTGTGATAACACTGAGCAGAATTTTGGGCCTCTCCTGCCAAAGTAACTTGGTTTGAAGTACAAGCTTCACATTACAGACAATATAAAGTGACCATGATTCCCTTCAGTGTAAAACACTGGTACACATACAAAAGCACAAATGCACATTAGACACCTCACTGCATGATAAAATGTATAAACTTCTGCTTAGGAGAAGTACTATCAGCAGATAGTGCCACATCTCTGAGTTCAAAAAGCTAGGATTAGTTTACACACATCACAGCCTTTTCTAGTAGTTCTGTATTTATGCAGAATAACACAAATACCTACCTCTTCCCAGACAGCATAGTTTCTTTCCTAATCCTCTCTGTGGGGGTTTCTAGACACCAATTACAACAGATCTCTTTCCTTCCAACTCCCTCCTTGGCCCCAATCCTCCCCTCTCCGCCTCGGTCGGATTATAAAATAAATTGACTTCTGGAGAAATTGCAGGTACTCAGCTCCTCTTGGAATCTGGCCCTTGCTTAGTTCGGTAGTAAATTTTTACACATTTTCCTTTCTTCCTCCTTTTAGTACTATAAGGAGCATCTGGCTCCTAGAAAGGAGCAGTGGGACTGTACCATTGTACCGGGGTTGGGAAAGAGGTTAAGTAGCCGCATTGTTCAGTAGCTGCAGAAACACTTCCTCCCCTTTATGGTAATGGAATATTCCCCCCCAAACCTCATCCTCCTCCTTACAGAAGGAAAGCCAAGCACAAGCGAGCTGCTACTCTGAATGGAGAAGTCTGGGAAAAGTTCCTGTGCTACAAGGAGGCACACATGCACGTGCAACATCCAAACCCTGTTTAAAATCTTTCTTGGTGGAAGGCAAGACAACTAGGGATTACTAGGGATTAATTTTAAGGCAGTTAACTGTTCTTTCTTCAAGCTGCAGCATTTTGCAGTGTATGCGTTTATGTCTTCAAAAACTTTTCCAGTTTCTGAAACCTTCCTCTACTAGACAGATTATCATACCTCAAAACTCACCCCTCTCAAAAATGTAAACAATCACAGCCTAGACATGACAGAAACAGAGAAACAAAAGCTCTCCATCCCAACCTACCATGGATAGATCAGATTCTCAGGTCGGTCTTAAATGTGACAAAACTACCATACCTTATGCAAAAGTGTGGCTGCATGATATAGATCAGTGGTCTCCAAAGTGAGGTGCATGCACCCCAAGGGGTGTGTGAAATGACCCATTGGGCTGCAGGAATAAAATATTAGAACTTCAGTAGTACATTTATGTATTTTGTAAATAAGTAAATATATATATATATTGGTGGTGTATGCTAAAGTTTTTTATCAATAGGGGTACATGATAAAAAAAGCTTGGAGACCACTGATACAGACAATCATGTGCTCCAATTTACATAGACAGACATTCATTTTATAGACACAGAATTCCACACAATAGCGAGTTGCAAGTATCCAGACACACAAACAGATCTTGTAATAATTAAAGCAAGAAAAGGTGCAGTTATTAAAACAATGGTCAGAACAGCAAAACATAATCCATTTCATAACTAACCTCTTCACTGTGTGAAACATGTTAGGTCTTGAAGAGAAGAGAGTAGGAATGTGCAGGGCAGACCACACAAACCAAAGAGAAGAAAACCACCCATGAGGGAATAGCTGAGGAAGATAAAAGGGAGGGGTGAGGCTAAGACAAGGGGAATAGAGTTTCAAAGGAAAAAGAGAGAAAAAGGAGGGTAAGAGAGAGAGGTGGGAGACGGAGGTAGAGAAAGCAAGATACACACAGATGAACTATTAAAGACAGACAAGGACAGAACAGGATATGGAGAAGAAAGGGAGGAGCTGGGAATATCAAGTAGAATAGCAAGCAGAGGAAAGAGTAAGAAGGGTACTATTATACTATACATGAGAGGACATGTTTGACAGGCAGTTTTGAAGCAGAACTATTTTCAGGGGACAAAATCTTCAAGAAGATTTTCTCAAGGGCAGATTTATCACTTCAAAAATATAAAATAGCACATTTTTCCTTTCCAGATTTCTGAAAAATAATCATATGGATCAGTAAATTAAAACCTTATAATACTCTTCTGGATACCATGTATTATGGCCCTGTTTTGTTTGTTGACGTGTTTGGTGAATAAAGGTATTTTCTCCCTAAGAAAGCCTACTATAGAAAGAGAAGAAGCTTACAGAAAATTTATAAGAGATAACTGAAAATAATTTAGGGATGCTCAGAAGTGCAAAAGGACTGAGAAGCAGCCCAAGATGGAGTGTGAAAGACCAGACCCTGCAGATTCACATTCTCTACTCTGGCTCTTGCTAGTCATTAGTACAAAGTCATGCATTTTTTTGTTTATTTTTTAATCTTTATCACAAATAATAATATTTACTACAAGTAAAGAGGCTTCTTACAGGTTTCAGTTCTCCCTTGAAATAAGCAGTGTTTCTGCTTACAGAACAGGCTTGTTCTCTGTTTTGTCCTTCTCTGCCATTACTCACTTCTGCTTAGACTATTGTTTCCTGAGCTTTAATGAAAATTAAACCGGAGAGGGAAAAAAAAAAACCAACCCAACCTACATTAGCTGAATGTGCATGCACCTGTATTTTTAATGACTAATGTTATTAAGTATGTGTATCTGATGTTATGAAAATTCCCTTTCTTAACTATTATATCAACCATTCTTTATAGTATGACAGTGTATTAACTTTGTTAATATATGTATTAGTTCACATTATACACTGTATTGTCATGAGGTAGTGAAACTTTACTGAAGATGGTAGTATTGTTCCTTAGTAAAAAATCTTAAGGGCAGCCCAGTCCTGAAAATAAGGACTTTGCTTCTTGGAAGCTTGCTTTGTCCATGAAAGATAAAGGATACCCCTGGATAACTAAGAAGCATCCTAGCCCACATCTTTGAAACCCTCCCAGCATCATCTGGCATCATAGATAAGTAACTATGGCAAGACTGGCTCCAGAAACATATGGATCAATAGATAAGCAGCAACAATGCTGCAAAATTATAGTTGCTTTGCAGAGTTTTACTGTGATTAGTAATCAATAGTCTGAGTGCTAGTGATTAGTCAAATCATGTAGTACCTGAATGTTTGAAGGGTATAAGAATCATGTGTAAAACCACATACGTGTTGCCTCAATTTGACTAGGACGCCTCATGCACATGAATTAGTATTTACCCTTTCAATTCTATACTTTGCATCCTAACCTCTCTCCTCAGTTGGCACGGGTCAGTTGCAAATTTTCATGACAGTCTCAAAGGTGAAGAAACAGCTAGACTTGTGCCAGTTCACTGGAGCTACAATCTAAATGTCTGTTTATCCATCCATTTTCTAGCAGTTTACCTATACAATCCAAGCATTTTGACACACTCATCACACAGATTGAGTGCTAGTGTTTGTAGAGCTAACACCCTGAAGTAATTTATGCTGTAGACCAGGATTTGAGGAACATTTAAAAGGAAAAGTAGCTGCCTGGGAATCCATGACTGGTTTTACAATTAGCCTGGTCCCATGTTGGAACTGGGCACTTTGGGAATATTTAGTCAATTCTGTGGAGGCCTGCAATCTGGCTGGGTATATTCAATACTGGCTGCTAGGTTTTTACCTGAATGCCCAGACCTAATAAATAAATTTGAAGCTTACTGGGACATAAGACACTACAGGGTTTCTGAAGCTGCCAAAGGGGGAAAAAATAAAATGAATGAGCCCTATAGCCCATGGCACAGGAACAGAAGTGTGCAGCCATAAATTAGAGATATATATAT